GTGAGCATAGCTTCTCAGTCCCCCAGGCCATGTCTGTGTGCACATACACACACGTGTGGTTTCCCCCCATTCTTAAAAAGGGGCTTCAGCAAAAGCCTGGCCGGTTTTATTAGATTCCACAAGGCACAGAGTAACGTTGAGTTGGGGTTTAAAGGCACACTGGCTATGATTAAAAGTGGAGTTTCAGGAATTATTGGGCAGAAGGGGCAGAAAGAGCCCCTTGCACAATTCCAGTAAAGCTATGCTGAGGCAGTAATCGTGTGATTTGTGGGAGTGGGAGTAAAGAAAGGACTCTGAGCTAGTCACAAAAATAACATTATAGCTATGTTTTATGTGTCTGTGCTGGCAGATCACAGAGTGCCTTAGGAAGCAGGCGGGCAGGCAGGCAGGTGGGACACCCCTTCCTCTGCATCCTGTGGAACAGAAGACATCTCTGGTTGAAAGCAAGGGCTGTTCCTTGCTCCCAGAAAACCTACACATGGGGAAAGGGAGTATGTTGTTCAGTGTCTTATCCAGCGGGATACATCCTTGCTTTGTTGCTGGCCAGATTCAGCTGATTCTTTGTCTCCCAGAGGCAAAACAAGAGAACAGAGGAGTATATGAAGGTCTCAATCCTACAGGTCATGAAAACAAGAATCAAACTTCCAGACATCAGGTGGGGGACATGAGGATCACCATCCACCACCATCCAGTTAATGTTGATAAAGAGCTACCACAACTGCAGCTCATAAAGATTTACCTCATAAATCCCATACAGATTTATACCACGGTCAATAAAAGAGGGGAAGAAGAGCCAGAAAATCTTCTAAAGCGTATTAGCCCATGAGGCTTCACCCATGTGAGGGCCTCATTGCCTTCAATAATAAAAACTCTACCTGTCCGTTCACACGACCTAACAGAGCCTACGGAACCTAGACCCCTGAAATATAGCATGTGTACCCTAACCCTAACCCAGTCCAGCACCTAAATTTCCAGTCTCTACAGAGATGAGTAGGCTGAGGATCAGATGAATTATTATGGGCAGGCCACTGTCAGGGGAAGGAAGTGGACAGATCTGTCCTTCACCATGGCAGAGGCCATGCCTTGGAGGTGCCAGGGGGCATGAGTCTGAAGGGTCCAGCACAATGAGTGCAGTTCTGACAACGACATCCATTTGCCTGAAGGCTTTGCTGTATTAAACTCAGGGCTATTCCAACCCATGTGAAGAAAGCTCCATTCATGACTATGGAATAAATGTGGGAAGCATGTGGTAGGACAGCCAGAGGCAACTTTAGTCACTCAGTAACTGTGCCTTGTTTCTCGGAAGCACGAGGATTTGAAGGCTGGATGCCCTTTGCCCAGCAATAGCTGACAAAGTGATGGAATAACTGATGATGATAGAGGAACAACCTCCCACTTGGTAACAGTAATTACATATATAATAACCATGGACAGCTTGATTCTTTCTCAGCCCAATAGAAAAACATTCAGAACTTTCTATCCTGACCTATTTAAAAACAGCTATCATATGACTTCCAGGCAATTTAACCTTTGCAAATCCTCTTTTAAAAAAAACAACAGGGAAAGATTTGCTTCCAAGTAACATTGTTATTCTTGTATACCTCCCTCTTTTGAAGTTAAAATCATTTTTCTTCTCTTCTCTCTACAGCATCTTTTTAAAGAAAGAAATGGCAATACATAGTCCTCACAACTCATCCTCCAGCATCCCATTGTGTCATGGTTTGTCTTGCTGCCGAGATACAAAATGCCAAATTGTCATTGCTCATCTATTTTGCCTTTCCCTTCGCAGAGACTTGTCTGTTCCCAAACAGGAGCAGTCAATTGTATTTGAGGCTTCAGAGTAGCTGAAAAAATCCGAAGATAGGAAGCCCAGTCAGGGGAGAACTCGAGTCTTCACACTCTGGTCCATCCAGAGAAGCCCCCTGCTGGGCTCTTTCCAGCTCTTTCCAGCCTGATGGGAGGAACAGCAGTGGCGGGTTTTGCCTCCCTGTTCTCCAACGATGGAAATGGTTAGACAAGCCCTAGAGCCAGTCTGACTTCTCCAGCCAGGGGTACAACTGGGGATTGTGGGGGCTAAGTTTCCCCCGGATCATCAAGCCCTCCCTCCCACACAGAGACTTGCCCCCCTATGTTCTGTTTTCTCCCTCCGGGCAGTCAGAGTTCCAAGGGCGAGTTCTGACCTTGTTTGAGGGCTCCTGCAGTAGAGTAAAGAGGGCCCTTTGGGCAAGAAATCTTCAGGGTCCTCCTTCCAGCAAGTCTAAAGTCTACCATCCCACCAGCTGCTCATGCTTCCCATCTTCTTTCTCATCTTACTCCCGCATGCTTGACAGGCAGAGATGCAGAGCGAGGAGGCGGCAGCATCTACCACCCCTCTTACCCACCACCACTGCTTCTGGGCCAGAGCATGAGGTGGCTGATCGAGCAAGTGGCTATGGAGAAGAGAAGGCACAAGCCAGGGCCATCTTGTCAGTGCCCCCCCCTCATTATGGTGTGGGCCTTTGACATGTGCCCAACTATGCCCACCCCTGATGCGGCCTAGAGACCAACAACATCTACAGGGCCATAAATTGCCCCAGGAAGCCCCCGCGGAAACCTGCACCCGGGAGCAGAAAACTTTCTGAGTGTGGCATTCTGTCTGAAACCCCTGAGGGTGGTGGGGGCAGTCAAAACAATCTTTCAGCCCCTTGGGACTGTCTTGGGACCATCAGCACCCTCTCTAGGAATGCTACTAGTCAGCTGCGCTCCTTGGCAGAGGCTCTGCTCTGCTCTCCCAAACCTCATCATGTTTGCATTGGATGCACACAAGCACAGTGTTGCAGAACTCACCACTGCCGGGCTTTCAAAAAGAGGGACACAGCTTGCACTCAAGCCCCGACTACACTTGACCACAATGCCACGGCTGCTGTCCTTATGTGCCTCCCCAGCAGTTTCTACTTCCTTTAAGCTTTCTGAGGGCTGCCTTCTCCCGCACAAGGCTGCTCATCTGTTCTGTGGACCATCTGGGGCCCTGCAGGTATTCTCACCTTTGGATGCAGGGGGCACCTGCGACCAGACCAATTCTGAGGTGATGCCTCAGTTGTGGAACTCCCCTTGGCATCTCACCTGGTACAATTGCCTGGGGCCACCCTCTGCAGCCCAAGGAGGTTCTCCCAATGGTAACACTATGGGGCCCACTTATCATTTCAATCATTCCTCCATACACTTTGGGTTTGCGGTCAGTTTAAGCTGGTTTAATATATATTTTTGTACTGTCTGATTGTCAGCTGGCTTGAAGGTTGATCATGGTGGAAAGGTGGGACAGAAATGTGTTAATTAAGAGGAGAATTAAGAATTAATGTGTGACATGACTCTAACACATTCAGCACCTTTTTCTTGTGTTTGCTCCACTTCTTGGTTGCCACCTGACAGGGAAGGGTGAGCAAAGCACAGAATCACCCTGCTTCACCTAGACACTACGGAGGGACTGTGGAAGGAGTTGCAGGGCCGTGGCACCCACACGTTGGTACTGGTATTTAGGGTGGAAAGCTACAATTCCCTTTTTCTCAGGCTTTGTTCCCTGACCCTGTAGGGCTGTTGTGCAGACAGATCAGGGGATGGCCGCAAAAATAAATTGTGCACTGAGCATGTTATGTAAAAGATGATTAACACATTCCTTCAGAGGCCATGGGTTCAAGTAAAGCATGGAGCTAATTGCTATATCCCTCATTTGCACAAGCCTTCTTCAAAGCTGGAGTACAATTCCCAGCATTCCCCCTGGCCATTGCTTATGCTAGCTGGGGAATGCTGGGAGTTGTAGGATTCTTTTTCCTTCCAAACATTCATAGGATGTGTACTCCTAAATCTCTTGTTTCACTGGAAACTGGCACTGCTAAGGTGTGATCTTTCCACAAATGGTGAGGCAGTGAAGCAGCACTGCGCAGTGCCCAGCTCCTGACTGACCTGCACAGAGGCTGTGGCATCAGACCCAGTACTCTTGGAAGAGATGTTGGGGGCCACCAGAAGAGTAGAGGATTTGGGTGGGGAGCTGTCCCCAAAGGGAGCTTTCTGCAGCAGAAGAAGGCAGCAAGAAAATTGCCAGCTTGCTTTGAGGTGGTCCTCCTCTGACTCCAAGAATTCAGTCTCCTACAACACAGGAGAGTCTGTAGGAGCCAGACATGTGGGCTCTTTGAGCAATCAGTGCCTTTCCTCTGGAGAAGAGCAGGAGAGTGGAAATGCCAAACATGTTAGCAAGCCTTCCCAAGCTGGCACCCTCTATATATGTTGGGCTACAACATCCAGGGATCAATAGGGGTTGTAATTCAAGAAATCTGGAAGGTGCCAGGTTGGTGAAAGCTGCTCTAGACCTCTGCCGCAACAACACGTAAGGGTCAGAAGAGATCACTTTTGATTTGTGCCTAGCAGCTGTGTCTCTTCCCCACACTCAGTTTTTAATCCGGAGAAGTGCAGGGGCCCCAGTTTGGGTGTAGACTCTATTGTGGTGAAGAGGAGGAGCTTTTACAGTCTGGCCTGGGCCCCTTTGGCCTAATCTAGAGTAGAAATGGAGAAACAGACATAGCTGCTAAATGCAGAATTAAAGTGACTTCTGTCTTGAACTTAAACTTGCTTTTTTGGGTGCCACTATCCAGCCTGACTATACCCAACTCCCCTTTCCACTCTCTGTGGTCCACCTGCTTCCCATCCCGGGCTACTGCCAAGCCTTCCTGTACTGCCCGGAGACCACACTTGGAACAGGAAATCAGCTGTTCTTCACACCAGTGAAAGGTACCATTAGCATCAACAGTGCTGGAGAGCGATGTTGACCCATCAGCAACCTTCACCTGGGTGTGGATACATTTGCAACACCACCACCAGTTGCCTTCACATAAGGATGTGAGGCTCCCTGCCCCTTGCTCATAACTCAGCATTCACAACCTGCCTCTGCTTCATCAGCCGTGCCTCCCACTACCACACAGGACCACAAAAACAAATCACCGAGCCAGCAGAAGGAATTATGGAGTTACCTTCAGTCCTGATGGTGAACGGAGAGTCTCCCAGTCTTTTGGCTGAGAACTGACCTCCCAGAGATGTCATTAAGAAGCAGAGAGTGAAAAATCCAATTCCTACCACGAATATCCTATATGGGAAGACAAAAGAGAGGAGGCACAATCAGGTATATTATAGCTAAACAACAGGCAAGAAAATCCCATTCCTCTCTAGTAAGGACTACTTTGAAGAATCTTGTTGTTCCTTAAAAATCTAGCATTTGCACACCAGGCTCCCAGGACCATCTCAAATGCAGGATTTTTCACCTGGCAGTGGGTTGCATCCAGTGTTGGTTCTAGGACCATTGAAATGAATGGGAGTCAGGTTAGACTAACACTGGGTGCAGCCCAGAGTGAGCAAACAACAGAGTTTTCCCTGTGCATAGTTAAGAAGTTTTTCCACAGGGCATGTTGTCTGTTTTGTTGTTTTTAACGTCCCAGTCTAAGCAATTAACAATTAACTGCAGGCATTTATGAAATTGCCCTGTTGCAGCATCAAGAAAATGAGGGGCACAGCCATCAAAGTTCATTGCTCCTTGTTCCCCCTCTTCTTATTCTTGTTGGAGTGAAATAAGCTGCAGGCAGCAGCAAACATTGTGTTCCAGTGGAAGAGAGTGGGATGCTACTCTCTGTGTGGCAAATTAATTTTATTTCACAGAAGTGAAAGCTGCAAGCACCACCAAACCCTCTGCATCATCACGGAGCATCATCCCACAGGAAGTGCTCCTGCCCAGCCCTCCCCTCCCCATTGCAGCCCATGCCACGGTATCGCGTTGTGCACAGCTCCCATACGTTTCTGAAATATATTTTGGTCATTTCACTAGCTCCATATAATGAAATAAAATTGTGCACAAACTAATTCCAGCATAATAAGGAAAAAATACTTCTCGAAGAAACTCAGCCTTGTCTCTGGTTTGCTCCCAGGGAGAAGAAGCCCTGTCACCGAGAGCACAGTTGTGCATGGTACTAACACCAGAGCTGGCAAACTCCTGGATGCCACTCGGGGCCGACCTGAGACTTTGTGGCCTGAAGCAAAGGACAAGATGGCCTGTCCCTCCGTTCCAGGTGCAAGAGCCAACCAGTCCGGCTACTGAATCTACTTTCAAAACCAGCAACAACATCCTCCTTGGCCTCTGAAGCCAGCAGGCCAATGGTGGGCGGGGAGGGCGGGGGGAGCAGGTCACAGCCTGTCCTTCCCCTGCTTCCTCAGTGCCGGCTACCTGAAGCCATCGCTTCACTCTGCCTCCCTTCTGCCACTCGTGGGGCCAGTATTGCTCAGTCCTATCTCCAGCTTGGGAATGAAACAGTCCAGGCAGTTGGTTATGGCTGGATCCAGGATCTGGCTGTGAGGACCTTGCTTCAAGCTCAGGAAGCAGGATCATAAGATTGGACACAGTCGCTAGCCATGCAGACCACAAATCTAAAGGAGAAATGTGGGTTGGCCCAGAGGAGAGGCCTGGGAGAGACCGTGTGCCAGTTTTTGCTTTCACACCCAATTTCAACTTTCAGATGTATGGCAGCTTACTGCATTTTAATTCTGTCCAGACAGCCAGTGTGGTTTGGGGTGCTGGCTGGCGTGTTGGAGTGGGAACCTGGGAGATCCAGGTCCTAGCCCCATTCAGCCATGAATTTCATTCAGTAACTCTGGCCCAGGCACTCCCTCTCAGCCTAACCTGCCTCAGGGTTTTGAAGTTGTGAAGATAAAAATGGAGCTATGTAGGCCACCTTGGGTTCCTCACTAGAGGGAAAAAGGGGTGACATATAAATGCAATGTAATAACAATGGATGCATTGGAGCAAGGAGCTCCCCAGTTGTTCTTTTTCTTTGCGTCTTTCAAGTTCATCATCCTCAAACATACAAGGAAACATTGACTTTGGCTTTCAGATTGAGTAGGACAGCTAGTTCTTTCCCATCAATGGTGCCTCCATACCTCCAAAGATACCTGCAGCTGCCATACCTTCGATGCCATTTCCCCATCAATCTATTATTTATTTAGATTGGGGAACCAGAGCCACGAGAGCCAGTGTAGTGTGGTGGTTAAGAGCATGGGACTGGGACTCAGATGATCTGGGTTCTAGTCGCCGCTCAGCCATGGATCCAACTGGGTGACTTTGGGCCAGTCACAGATTGTCAGCCCAACCTACCTCACAGGGTTGTTGTTGTGGGGATAAGAGGGAGGAGGAGAATGATGGAAGCTGCCTTGAGCCCTTTGTAGGAAAAAGGCAGGATATAAATAGAGAAATAAATAAATAAATAAATAAATGGGTTTATTTGATAGCCACCCACTAGCATCACACTCTCTGGACTGAGCTTAAACATGTGGTTTCTTAAAACTATTTTAGTATCCACACGATCCACCAGAATCTTTCATTTTTATTTATTTATTTATTTATTTATTTATTAAAACATTTTTATGCCGCCCCATTCGCCAAAGCCTCAGGTCTACATTGAGTGTATGGGGGCACAGCATGGGAAGAAAAACCTAAGTAAACTGTCCACAGAGCTCCAGCTACAGGCAAGATGATAGAGATAGCAATAGCAATAGTGATGATAGCGATAGCAATAGAGATAGAGATGATAGAGATAGAGAGTAAAACCTGGTTTGCATTACTCTCAATTTTATTATGCAAAGCATCCCAGACAACTAAGGGTGTGGACTTCTAAGCATTCCATCTGACACCTGCAAACCATGCATAGCCAGTGTAAACCACATGCTGACTGCTTCGAAATAATGCTATGAGGAAAGATTGACGAGACCAGATGCATTTAACCTTGGGAAGTGGGGACTGAGGCAGGGGAGTATATTTGTGCTTTGCAAGCACCTAAGAAGTTGTTGCAAAGAGATCCATAGCATGTTCTCTGACACCCAGGACTCTGTGGCCATAAAATAACTGACTTAAATTACGGATTGGCTGATTTTGGTTGAACATCAGGGGAAACTTCCTAATAGCCAGAGACCACAGAACCAACTGCCTTGGAGATGGTGAGCTCTCCATCACTGGAGACACTCAAGAAAGAACGGGCAGCTATTTCTCAGGGTCACTTTAACTGAGATCCCTCCACTGAAGAAGCAGTTAAACTTGATGGCCTAAATGACCCCTTCCTGTTCTGTGATTATATAGATCCAGAAGGAAAACTTTCATTGAGCAAGATCTGTGACACTGTGAAATGAAAGAGAAACGGTGGTGCAATGCACAAGGCACTTCCATATAGTACCTTCCACGCCATCACAACTACCCTTCTGTAGGCAGAGGTGGCCATGTGCTCTATTTTACAGGACGGCCCTCAGCAATTATTCTAAATGTGCGTGCAAGCATGCTCTCTAATGTGCAACCCCACAACACACACACTGCTTCATCAAGGCTTTCCTCATCTTCTCCAGGAAATAACTCAGGCAAAGTGGCACAACACGGGACAGGCGGTTGATTCACACCTGGAATCAGAGGCTGTTTCAGGACCATGGACAGCAATCCCGGATCTCGCATGCTGGAAAGCTTGTCCAACTCTGACGAGGAGCAATTCACAAGAATTTCTCATAAAGGCAAAAACTCACCCCACCCTGGGTCCAGTACTTGGCTGTTAAGGGGCTAGCAGGTTTTTTTTTTTTCCTTGTAGATACCGGTTTCTCCTGGGGAGTTAAGGTAGCGGAGAAACTGATCCTCAGGGTCTTCCTGTTCAGTGGAAGTACACCAATTGCACCTTTGGGGGCTCATGTGGCCAGGATATGAGATCTGGGGTGGAAAGACCAGGAACTGGCTCTGGTACTTCACTTCAGGCTCCAAGAGTTCTCAGTCCCGAGTTTGTCTCCATATGCAAGTGTTAAGCAAAACTGCATCTTCTCTTTGGTGGCAGCCACCCTACCATAGACACACACTCCTGGATTAGTTCTCGTGATATATCAGCAGTGGGAAACCTGCTGTCTGGGCAAGCTGCTAAAAATGGGGAATGAAACTCATAGCCTAGTAAAATGCTACCTTTCTCAGTAATAGATCACCGAACATGACTTCTGTGTACTATTTACTCTCTATAGCAGCAGTGCCTCTTCTCCTTAGAGCGTACATTTAATGAAGAAGTTCGGGTGGGGTGTGCGAGTTGGATGCTTGGGAATTTAATTGTCAGGAAGGATCCTGCTTTTTCTTCAGATTCTTCCTATTGACAAGAAACTCATCATTATGCGAGACCTTGTTTATGCCTTTGAATCTTCATAATTATAATCTAGCAAGGAGTGATGGTTAAACACTGCATTTAATTACTAATTTAGACCATTGAAGAAAAGGGGGAGAGAAAGAAAAAATACCCTTCGTGATTAACTGAAAGGGGGAAAATAAAAGAATCGCATGGTCTAGAATCTCATTAGAAGATGAAAAACCTCAAAGCAGCAACTGCATTTCAGAGGAAGGAAATTGCAGCGCCTGCGGTACCCAACAGGATCAGAACAAGCATGCTATGGGAACTTTAATGGGGCAACGTGGTGATCAGATAACTAAGTTCACTCAGGGTTTCCTAAAGCAAAAACAACCACCTGATCAGAAGCAAACTTTCCGTCCTCCTGCATCCTCCTAATTCATTAGAATTTCTCCAAGGAACTCTAATTGGAAGCTTTGCTTTTTCTAGCCCACCAAGAATGAGAGAGCGACTTTGAGTGTTTTGGCTTGTAAAGGGAATGAGCAGGAGGCGTCATTGCAGCTCTTCACTTCAGGTGATGATGTATCAGAGGCCAGGATTAAAGCTTACTATCACACCCTTCCTGATCATAAACATTAATCGAGGCCAAACTCATCTGCTGGCATTCAGCCAGTGAGGAAGAAAATGTTGCATACAATATGAGGCAGGAAAAAGAAGCGGAGACTACAGCATCAGCATAATACAATATGGTGTGTAGCAACTTGATTTTTCCATGTGTTGGCTCTCCCACAAAGAAAAGATCACAGTTGCAAAAAACTGTACCTGTGCACTGCATTGTAAAGTGACATTACAATTAGCCCTTCATTGAAGGAAGGAGAAACTTCTCTCATCAACATTTTACAATAGTGGCTGAACAGAGCTGCAGTCTGTGACCACAGTGGGTGATGGCTCAGTGTTAGGTGACAAT